GGGCTACTGGACTCTTTTAGAATATTTTGCTGAGTTTACACACCTATAATATTCAATAATGGAACTTAGAAAAAATGGGGTATACTGATGAATGTCCATTTTGTATCTGTGTATTCAAAGTGGTTAGGATAGATATACAGTTACATTCTCTTAATGAATAGAATGATTTGTTCTAAAGATGTTTGTAAATAGGATCTCAAGTCTGCATTTTGTACAGCAATTAACCACTAAGAAGAATATATGCAGTATGTTATTTGTTGAATCTGTACTTCCGATTTGATTTGAAACTGTCTCATTGTTTATCAATAAAATTTTGAAAAAATAAATAAAAATAATAATAATAATAATGATAAAATAAAAGGTACAATGTAGGTAGATACAATGATCACACTCATCATAGAGAATCTGCCTACACATGATATCCATTGATTTTTCTTTATTGAGCTTCCCATTGCCCTCCCCTTCATTCAATCTTTCTTCTCCTCCTTACTTACAATGCTTTGTTTCCATTTTATCCTTCTTCTATTTTTTCTTTTTCCATCTTTTCCCTGTTGTACTCCTGGATATTGTATATTTCTAGTTTGTGTTGATATCACTTGTTTACAGTCTTCACTCTAGCCTCCCTAAGGCATGCGCAGTTCTCCACAGCCAAGTGTGGTTATGTAATTGTACTCTGACAACAGTGTTGTGTCCTCAATGCTGTCCAGAAGTGTCCTTACATGCCCAAAATATTGAGCAGTTCCACACATAAGTTTATTTATTTTTTTAAGGATTCATTATTTTTGGAAAGTTTTTGTCTATATCTCTATTTAAGATAGACAAGGAATATAGTTAAAAATAAGAAAGGGTAAGTAGGATTTATAACAGAAAATTAGGCCAATCATGGTGGGTACATGTGTACTGCCAGCACTCAGAAGACTGAGAGAGAATCACTGCGAGTTTGAGGTGAGCTGCATAAAGGACAATCTGAACTGTGTGGAGACCCTGTTCTTTAAACCCGTGCCCATATGGCTTTACTTTTTATACTTCATTTTCATACTTTTCTGCTGGATGGTTATGACCAAGAAAGAGCAAGACCTATATAAAAAGAAATGTAACTTTTCTCTCTTATAAGGTTGGTCAAATCCCCTCAGAATTTAACCTGAAACCCTGAAAAGGCTCAAGTCAACAACTTCGAACATTGACAGTCTTATGGAAAGCCCACTACTATTATGGACTATATTGGGATATGTTGCTTAATTCATGCACCTACAGTATTTAAATGACAATGGAATGCCCTTCTCTGACCAAACTAACCAAACAAGGGGGATACAAATGAACAACCATTTTGTATCTGTATACTCAAAATAGGATAGATATATAGCTCCATTCTCTTAATTCAATAAATAGAAAGGTTTGTTCTAATAGTATTTGAGACAGGATATCAGGTCTGCATCTTGTACAATGAATAACCACCAAGACAACATGATGCAATGTATTAATTATTGAAAATGTGGACTTTTTGAATTGGAGGTGGCCGCCGCGGGCCGGGAATGGCGGCCTTGCTGAGGGGAGTCGGCGCCTGAAGAGGTGGATCTCACAGAACTTTTAGAGAGCGCCAACTTAGAGCACTACAAACAATGGCTGACAATAGTATATTAGCATCTACTACTGGGAGGACTAGTTTGGCAGATATTTCCATTTTTTATTCTAAAGTTGCTGAAACTTCCAAGGAAAACCTATTTATCAGATGTACTTCATATGCTGAAGAAGAAATGCCTCAGATTGAAACAAGAGTGGTAATGGTTCAAGAAGCTGGAAGACAAGAAGAACTTATAAAAGCTTTAAAGACTATTAAAATAATGGAAGTCCCTGTTATAAAGCTAAGAGAAAGTTGTCCTGGAGAATCGGATGAAAAATTAATAAAAAGTGTTATTAATATGGACATTAAAGTACCCTGTGTAATGATGGACTCAATGGAAGAGTTTGAAAGTTTGGATTCTCCAGAATTTGAGAATGTATTCATAGTCACAGAGTTCCAGGATTCTGTCTTTAATGACTTACACAAGGGTGACTGTAGAATTATTGGACCACCAGTTGTGTTAAGCTGTGCACAAAAAGGAGAGCCTTTGCCATTTTCATGTTGCCCGTTATATTGTACAAGTATGATAAATTTAGTTTTATGCTTTACTGGCTTCAGGAAGAAAGAAGAACTAAGGTCAGATTGGTGACATTGGTCCATCATATGGGTGGAGTTATTCGAAAAGATTTTAATTCAAAAGTTACACATTTGGTGGCAAACTGCACACAAGGAGAAAAATTCAGGGTTGCTGTGAGTCTGGGTACTCCAATTATGAAGCCAGATTGGATTTATAAAGCATGGGAAAGACGGAATGAACAGAATTTCTGTGCAGCAATTGATGATTTTAGAAATGAATTTAAAGTTCCTCCATTTCAAGATTGCATTTTAAGTTTCCTGGGATTTTCAGATGAAGAGAAAACCAGTATGGAAGAAATGACTGAAATGCAAGGAGGTAACTATTTACCAGTTGGAGATGAAAGATGCACTCACCTTATAGTTGAAGAGAATATAGTAAAAGAACTTCCATTTGAACCTTCAAAGAAACTTTATGTTGTCAAGCAAGAGTGGTTCTGGGGAAGCATTCAAATGGATGCTCGCTCTGGAGAGACTATGTATTTGTATGAAAAGGCTAATACTCCTGAGCTCAAGAAATCAGTGTCTCTACTTTCTCTACATACACCAAACAGCAATCGCAAAAGACGTCGTTTAAAAGAGACACTTGCTCAGCTTTCAAAAGAGACAGACCTGTCACCTTTTCCTCCCCGGAAGTGACCATCGGCTGAGCATTCTCTTTCTATAGGATCACTCCTTGATATCTCCAATACTCCAGAGTCTAGCGTCAACTATGGAGAAACCCCAAAGTCTTGTAGTAAGTCTTCTAAAAATTCTACCCCAGTTCCTTCAAAGCAGTCGGCCAGGTGGCAAGTTGCAAAAGAGCTTTATCAGACTGAAAGTAATTATGTAAATATATTAGCAACGATTATTCAATTATTTCAGGTACCATTGGAAGAGGAAGGACAGTGTGGTGGTCCTATCCTTGCACCAGAAGAGATTAAGACTATTTTTGGTAGCATTCCAGATATCTTTGATATGCACACTAAGATAAAGGATGATCTGGAAGACCTGATTATTAATTGGGATGAGAGCAAAAGCATTGGTGATATCTTTCTTAAATATTCAAAAGATTTGGTAAAAACCTACCCTCCCTTTGTAAACTTCTTTGAAATGAGCAAAGAAACAATTATTAAATGTGAAAAACAGAAACCCAGATTTCATGCTTTTCTTAAGATAAACCAAGCTAAGCCGGAATGTGGACTACAAAGCCTTGTTGAACTTCTCATCCGACCAGTACAGAGGTTACCTAGTGTTGCATTACTTTTAAATGATCTTAAGAAACATACAGCCGATGAAAATCCTGAGAAAAGCACTTTAGAGAAAGCTATTGGATCACTAAAAGAAGTAATGACGCATATCAATGAGGATAAAAGGAAAACAGAAGCACAAAAGCAAAATTTTGATGTTGTTTATGAAGTAGATGGATGCCCAGCTAATCTTTTATCTTCCCACCGAAGTTTGGTGCAACGAGTTGAAACTGTTTCTCTAAGTGAGCACCCCTGTGACAGAGGAGAACAAGTTGCTCTCTTTCTCTTCAATGACTGCCTTGAGATAGCAAGAAAACACCACAAAGTTATTGGCTCTTTTAGAAGTTCACCTGGCCATACTCGACCCGCGGCTTCTCTTAAGCATATTCATCTAATGCCCCTTTCTCAGATTAAGAAGGTGCTGGATATAAAAGAGACAGAAGATTGCCATAATGCTTTTGCCTTGCTTGTGAGGCCACCAACAGAGCGGGAAAATGTACTGCTCAGTTTCCAGATGACATCAGATGATCTTCCAAAGGACAGCTGGCTGAAGATGCTGTGCCGACACGTAGCCAACACCATTTGTAAAGCAGATGCGGAAAATCTCATGTACACTGCTGACCCAGAATCCTTTGAAGTAAATACAAAAGATATGGATAGTACACTGAGTAGAGCATCTAGAGCAATAAGAAAGACTTCAAAAAAGGTTACAAGAGCATTTTCTTTTTTCAAAACTCCGAAACGAGCCCTACGGATGGCTCTCATGCCATCCCATAACTCAGTGGAGGGCAGAAGCCCTCCCAGCAGCGAGAAGCACGCAGTGAGTCGCCTTGCTAGCACATCATCACTAGCAGGTATCCAATCACCTTCCCTTATCAGCCTTCCTTCCTTCTTTGAAAGACCAAGTCATACTTTAAGTAGATCGACAACTCATTTGATATAACACTTAAATTACAGAAGTTTGTGCTCAAATAAGAAACTGACTTAAATGGTTCTTATAATAGTACCTGGTGAAAGCTGAAGATAGGAAACACTAAAGTACGCCACTTCATTTTCTTCTTGAAAGACTAAGGTTTACCTCTTACATTGTTCAAGTTATTTTGTGTAAAAATTATATTGATTTTGATGTAATTTATCTCTTTTGTATCTTTCCTCTGAAGACCAGAATTTAAGTTATTCATTTTCCAGTAGCTTTGTAACTCATTTTACTGGTGGGTGCCAATTACTACTGTCAGCCTGTTTGTACAGTATTCATAAATGAATTTATAGAAGTACATATTTATGTATTTCACTTTGTTCAGAGATTAAATGATATTACAGTAATTACCAGAAAAAAATTTGCATATCTTTCTGATTAAATAGTAGGGCACTGTTTCAAATGTACCTTTTGATGTACTTAACTGCTTTTTGATGTTTATTGTCTTCTCAAATATTTTCAAGATCTTGAATGTGGATTTAAAAAGATCTGCCTTTATTAATAATTATGAAGAAGATTGATTCAAAATATTTTTGCAAATTGAGAAAAAGAAAGTTTAGAAAACATTGTATACAATGCAAAAGCAAGATATGAGTCTAAACAAATGATATAGTTTTGGTGAAGTTAACTACTAGCAAATTTTGACTTAGTTGGAGAGCGTATTGAATTTTACTTCAAAGAACAGAACCATGGAAGAGCTGTGGTAAGTGTTGTTTATGCTCTTTACAGGGATGCCATCAGCTCTGATGATCTGCGGTGAAAAGCATAGATACAGTTATGGTCCGCTTTTTATTTTGGTTTATAATTAGATGTAAAATCCAACATTTTCTTTTGTAAAATATTCTTCAGAGTCTGATCTTTCAGTTTTCTTTATAGTCAGTAATACAAAAATAATCAAGTTCTTATGAATAAATATGTTTTACTTTCATACTATTTAAGGAATACTGCAAACATTCCACTGTTACTTAACAAGTCTCAATGGTCAGCTTTAACAGCTTACCTGACTGTAGATTTTTTTCCTCTCCCAAATATGTGCCAGTTCACAGATGAGTAATTGATCCTTTTTGCTATATTTTAAAAGTAGTTATATTAATAAGAATTGTGTAAATAAACAACTTCAAGCCCAGTTGTACTTTGTATTGTCTCACATAAATCCTTCAAATAGGGTTTCATTGACAGTATCTCATTGGCTTCTGCTCCATTTTGTATTTAGCCTGCTCACTTGTTTACTCCTTCCTCCATTTGAGGATTTATGTGTTTATATGCATTTTTCTGGCAGACAACACATAACCTTTATCATTTCATTGTGGAAACGTGAATTTCCCATAAAAGGGGTACAGGGTTTTGGAAACAAGAAATGACATGATTTACAGCATAACTTAGAAAACTCGAGTGTTCACTGACAAAATATAGCTGGTGATTAATTGTAACTTTAAACTTCCTCATTGTCACTTTGCATGTATGTTTCTTCATGTGTTAAGATTCTGAGTTATGCATGGCTGCTAAATAAAAACTTTCTTCTCCATTGAGAATATAATATATAAAAAAAAGAAAATGTGGTAGTAATCAGTTGTGAAACTGACTCATTGCTACTTGTTTCTCAATAAAATATTTTTAAAAAATAAGTGCATGAATGAAAAGAGTAAAGTCGAGGATAAGCACAATGGAATAGAGTTGTTCTTTTATTAGAATATTTTAATAGTTGCACAATTCTGTGCATTAGTAAAACTCCTTGAAGTTTACTAGTTAAATAGATAAAATATGTGTCATGTGAACTGTGACAGTTAACCTTAATTGAAAAAATTGCCAATAAAGTACAGTTCTGGCTTTAAAAAATGAAATAAAGCAAAAGTCTAAGCTTTAAAAAAATAATAAATAAATTCCTGCTGAGAGAGAGAGAGAGAGAGAGAGAGAGAGAGAGAGAGAGAGAGAGAGAGAGAGAGAATTGGGAAACAAAAGGAAGCAAGAAGTTGAAGGAGATGAAAAGTTATAAGAATTGGATGACGTTCTTCAACATTTTGTTTGTAATTTTTATCCAAGGATATGTAGGGGGCCAATTAATGAGGATCAAGGCCTAATTGATGAGCCCTTCTAGCACAAAAGAAGAAAGCACAAAATTCATGCTGGCAAGTGTGTCTTGCTGGTGAGTTGCAAGCTTCAGGGTAGCAACACTACAGCTAAGATCTGGATGTTCACGCACATATATGCCACAGATAATGAGGTGCAGATGAATCTTCCACTAACCTAATTGATTGCTCCCTTTTCTAAGAAAATAAAAACAGCGTGAGCCAAATACTCAAGGCTCTTTTTCCAATAGTAGGCACGAAGTTACTGGCCCACCTGTGTTCAATCTAGGTTTGTTACCCTCTGACTAGTTATCCCTAGTAGGATGATCTCCTCCTGCAAGGTGGGCTTAAGTATAAGGTTCACAGTGAAGAGATCATTCTTGTTTGATTTTCCCTACTAGAGAATTTTGTGTTTAGTAAAATGTTCCCTATAATTAAGTCAACATTCTGTGATCATCTTCTTCCTCCTTCATCTATCTGCAAGAACTGAGTGGCTTACAATCCTTTTATTCCCCTATAAATGTCTCTTTCTCAGGCACCAGAGGGAGCACACATCTCTTGGTGGCCCTTCTCTTAGTTCTGTGATCCAAAAGTGTGACACTAAATGGAATCTGACCATCCCAGGAGCTATGGCCTGTCCCAGAGGGAGCTGACAGCCAAGAGTTTAAAGATTTGCTCTGGGCTAGAGCAGCAACAGTATCTGAACCCAAGAACAGTGAAAAAGCTACACAGGAAAAGTCTTCAATAAAATCCTAGAGCAGAAATGGATATGAATGCCTAGAAATCCCAGCTTTCTAGGAAGCACAAGGATGGGATATTTGAACACAGCCTGTGCAAATTATCAATTTAGCAAGACCTTTTCTCAAAAACCAAAAAAGGCTTCCCCTCCCCTGCAGGACAGAAACACCAAGGCCTCAACTGCCTAGCTCATGCTGACACAGTTACCAAGGGTTACTCTGGTGTAAGAAAAATGCGACAATGCTGGAAGGGTGTTGGCTTCAGGCGCTGCTCCTTTCCAGAAAAACTCAGACCATCCAGACTTACTAACAGGAAAAATTCAGGACTTAGATGACATTGGTGGCAAAGGCATTCTGGAGGAGAATTCTTCATTGTTTTCTGTGTTTGACATGTGATGAGAATAGACTAGAGGTTTCTCTGAGTAGCTTGAACACCTTGGTTCCTCTATGAAGATTCTATAACAGTGGTGCTTTGCTATCCAGTGGAGCTTCTACAGTTGAGCTCCATCAGGCTATAGAATCTGAAGATAAGGCCAAACATGATGTACGTTTTGATGACTTTAAGCTCAGAGAATGGATTTTTGGCTGGTGATCAAGTAAAGCCAGTGTTGCTAAACACTAAGTTACTAGTGAAAATTCTTGGACATGTTAGGTAGTTCAGTGATACTGACCATTTGGAATGATTGATGGAGATGAGTTTGCAGGTATGAAATTTTCCTCCTGATTTTCATTTGCCTTTGTCACTTCAAGAATTTTTGTTCAAGGGCCATGTTTTGGGCATAATACTGTGAGCCCCTACGGGGACCCAAGAGAAATTTTTGCAGGTTGGATCCTGAGATTTAAGAACAGCTATGTGCAAGACATCAGCAACAGCAGGCAGAGTGGTGCAGAGTTCCATCTGTCTTTGTTGCATACTTTATAAATACATATTTACATTCTCACCTGCAGCCTCATGGGCACATGCACAGTTGTCCACTGCTAGGTAACTAGCCCATAAAAGTAGCCTCTTTGTGCTTGTGCTAGACTAGTGAGTCATATTATCTGTCACATGTATTTAGATTCTCCTGAGCTTTGAAGCAAGTTGAGTGACTCTCCCAAGGAATCTCCACAAAGGTTTGGGATATACAATTGTAACATTCTGTAAGTAGCAAAGCATGAGCTCCTCCTTGTATTGTAGCCAGCAAATAAAAAAATCATGTGATTTTGCAAAACCATCTTTCCCATTTGAGTGTCTCATCTCTGATCAACATCAAAGCCCAACTCATAAAATTTAAAGACTCAGCCAGCCCTCCAGACCCAGACAGGCCCAGTGTGTGTGAGAGACATTCCACACCACTAAGCCAACTGGGTCTCCTCCAGCCCAAGCCCAGGGTTGGCCTGTGTGGGGGGCCATCCGCATACTCAAGGGAACCTCCTCCATCAGACACCCTGGGTGTGAAACTCTGCTGCTGAAGTCCTTGCAGAGGGGCTAGGGGCCAGAATCACCCAGTTAATCTAGGAACAGAACATCTTGCCAGAGGGGCAAAGCAGGTTCACCTCCATGAGCTGCAGCCAGAAGTTGAGCACAGCAGCCAAACCCAAGCCAGGCAAGTCTGGACAAGTTCAAACTTGGTAGATCTCGACCTGGTAAGCTGAGACACTTTGATAGAATCAGATTTATGAGAGTGTCCTCTTGCCTTCTCTCTTGATCTCCAGAGGAGACAACAGGTAACCTGATGAACTAATCTGCCTGGAAGACCCCAGGTACATCAAGGGGAAGTGATTAGATAGAAATTAGGGAAATTAACTTAAATACAAATTCCCAATTTAATATCTGCTCAGCTACACAGACATAATGTTTGTCTTATAGTCTAAAACACTAACCCATTAGCTACAAAACTGTTAAATATCACAACCAAGTATTAGTGTTCCTAATTGGAGTTCTGTAAATACAAAATTATAACTGCCTTAACCATATAAACTCCTTGGGGTAAGAATTTCAATAGGTGCTAAGGTTATAACTGCACCAAAACTCTACACCAAAGGTCAAAGAAGAGAAGAAGCAAAATGCAGTCTCAGGCTGTGAGCCACCCAGAAAAAATACATGAGATAATACCATAGAAGCAATTGGGAATCACACAGCTGAACTCTGAATTAATAGCATCTAAAATAAAGACACAACTGCAGAACTGTATAGAGGATTTCAGATCAGGAATGATCTCAGAAGTAAAAAAAAAAAAAAAAAAGTAATTGGGGCTGGGGAGATGGCTCAGTGGAATAAACACTTCCCTGGCAAGTGCAAGGGCCTGAGTTCAATGCCCAGTTCTGCCAAAAAAAAAAAAGTAAAAAAAGATATGATAATTATAATGAAAGAATAACTATTTCCAAAGAAGACATGATTAAAAAAAATAGAGG